ATCCGTATAGTGCATTTCTTTAAACTATTTCATTCATGTAGTTTTTTTTTTTTTGTTAGAGATTTTGATAGGGACATTATTCCTCTGGTAGAAATATACTACATTAAAGCAATTTTATTGCTTACTTATGAGTGTAGCACAAACTGTGCTTTGTCCATGTTCATTTGTCATGGGCAGATTAATAACTGATCTGCATTTCCAGGACTTGATAGTCCAGTTCTTGTAGTAGACTCACAGTCAGCTGTTGTTCCACTAAGGTAGTGGAGTAATGACTGGGAACATCATCCGTGCCGTGCAGATAAGGCAATACAAATACTTTCAGATTATCTTCAGTAGTTGGGGTTTTCTTGTGTCCATATTTTTCTTGTGTATGTCAGTGTTTTCTGTCTTACTGAATAAAGAGTCAGTTTTGGCGTTTTGGCTGAAAATTGTGAAGCCTTGCTACAGCTCATTGCTGTGTAGGTAATTTCTTGCCCAGAGTACAGGTTTTTTGGAACTCAGATTTTCCTGTTAAAGGAAATGATGAAATGGAAGAAGTGAAGGCATACTGTGTACTGTTGCATGCTGATAGCCACATTAAAGAGTCTTCTTGCCAGAAATGCACAGTATCATATGAGATGATGCTCCTCATTAGCAGATAAAAAGGTTTAAACACCAGCTCTTACAACCCTTTCCATTCAGGGAAAGATTCTGGCAGAAGTAACTTTGATTCCACCATGTATAAACTTGTCTGATCCTTTCATTATCGTATCATTCCTCTGGTCAGTCCTAAAGATTCCCAAACCCCAGTTGTTCCAGGTTTAGTGTGTAGCAGCTTAACCACATACCTGCTAGATTTGGACTTTTCCTTCAAAGTACCTGGGTCTTAAAGAGCAGTTCTTACTCCTTGCAAATAGTTTTTCATCTTTTCTCCTTTCACTAGGAAATAGTTTTCTCTTGTTAGACCTCCACATCACCCGGGAAACTACGCCAAATTGGTGCTTTATATCCCTGGAGTCCCTTACAATAAATTCACTTACTTGTGGGGTCTGCAGAAGTAACAATCTGCTCTTCAAGCATGGAGTGCTAAAGGCCATGGTGATTTGCTGTTGGGAGCTACTGCTGGAAAGTGTTGAAAAGATAAAAAACTGGCTTTTGTATTGTTGACCACGTGTTTACTTGTTTCTGTCAACAAATTGTTTAGAGAACAGCAGTGAAAATACTCTTTGGAATGAAAGCATCCAGGAGAGAGGAAGTACATTAGCTTTGAACTTGTGTTTTGGAGTATATTTGAACAGTCTGCACAGAAAAGATTTAGATACAGCAACACAGAAGCCAAATTACATTTTGAAAATGATGGTGGCTTACCAGTGATAACAGTGTACAGCGAGTTCAAAACCAGACCCCCTTGTTTGGTAAAATACAAAGCCTGAAGTGTGTTTCCAGGCTTCCAGGCTTCAGCTTGAGTGGTTACCGAAGGTGAAATGGTGATACATTTTGGCTGCCTCCCTCCTAATAAATTAAACGTGCCTGGGAACATTCCCAGGCACTGTCCAACTGGCTCAGGACTGCTTTGTCCATTCTCTTTAGCCCTTAGCTAGCAGAGCAGGGGAGTTGCATCTGAATTGTCCAGTGTGAGCAGGTCCCAGTGCTGTGAGACTCAGAAACCTGGGAATTGTGTGGGAGAACAGTAATTGGCACAGCCTGGTGCTGGGGAATGTCCTAGCTGCTTTCTAGCATACGTGATCGTGTTCCAGGGCCTGGGAATATGTCCAGACAAGACTTGACTTAAGAGTACAGATGGTAGTACTTTATTCTCCTGAAATCTTTATGAACTAAAGCATGGAAGGGACTCTTTGCATCACACAGGATTTTGGATGCCTCAGAAAGGTAGATTTAGGAGTGAGTGATTCCTGTTTATTATGAGGCAGTAGTTTTGCACTACTTAAAATCTGTACCTCCTGTCTTACTTTCAGATGGTTTTAGTGCTGGTTAAAACATATTTCAGAATTCAGTCACCTTTTAGCACCACCTTTCAGGGATGAGTAGACATGCCTGCCCTCTGTCAGGTGATGACTTGTGTATGAATGAACATACTGTGGCCTTTCATGGAAGTACTGTGTATGAAGTGTGGATTTTAGGGTTGTGAGGAATTTAGTTTTGATCTGGTGTGCGTGTGTGTGAATTTTAAGAGTCTTGATTTATTGCTTAGGTGACGTGGGGAGGGGACGGTCTTGCACCTTGTAGGCAATGGATCTTTTATGTCAGCAGGAAGTAGAGAAACCTCTTTATTTCTTTAGACATTTCTACCAGCAAACAGTAAAAGCTTTGTTGAGCTGACTTCACTGCTCATATGGAATAATTTCCTGCAGGCTCTTTCTTCTGTGTTTGATTGTGCATTATTGGAGTTTAAGTATAGTCATGGTGTAGATGAAAAAATAAAACACTAATACTAATCCCAGCTCTAAGCAGATATGCATACCAGAAGATAGCGTGTCATGTAAACCAATGACTTTGGAGCAGTTTTGCTGCTCTGACTGATCACTTTTCTGTGCCTCCTGGCCTTGGCTGGTCACCCTCCATGGTGCTTTGAGCTTCATTCCAAGCTGTGGCTCTGTCACACAGTCCGCTTCAGGGTACTGTTTGTCTTTCTGTAGGTTGTGGAATATGCTGTCAGCTTTGAATATTTATAGAGAGAAGAGGTTAGCAATATAAAGTACTGTTCATGCTCATCTTGTTTTGTTAAGGGCTATGAAATATTGCTTTTGCATGTGCTGTATCAAAAGCCTTGTGAACCAAATGCACGGCATGTCATGCTTCCACCAGTGATGCACCCCATGATTTTGGGAATGTGTAATCTGTGTGACAGCATCAGCTTTGGAGCACTGCTTTATATGAAGGATACAGTGCTCAAAGGTAATGAGCTGTCAGAGCTCACTGTGTCAATTAATATGCAGCAGGCTTTGTGTCTGCTGATTGTTCTTCTAATTGCATGTACAGGATGCTCTATCTTACGAGCAGTTGTGGTGTGTATTTAAGGACACAGTACAAAGCAGAGATGCTCCCTGGTGTCCCACGGGCTGCCCGTGTGTCTTCAGGGCAACTACTTCAATCGTTGCGAAGCTTCTGGCAGCCCACAGTTCTGACCACATCTTAGGAATGTGGAAGAGAGAGGCTGCAGCCGTGGGCAGAATCCCTCTTTGCCCACTCCTTCTGGAGACCTGTGATGCTGCTTGAGTCTGATGTGGATGCAGCTTGTTCAGGATGCACAAGGTTGCTTTTCAGCAAGAGCAGGTTGGCTTTTCTGAAGAGCAGGATCTGTGCCATAGAATGGGCCTTCATCTCTGGCTCTCTGCTGCTCTCTACTAGGCAAAGTCATCTAGTACAAGATTTTACTTGTACCTATAATCAGTAATATATTAAAAGGCCTTATTTTATTTAATATATTTATTTGTGATAAAAGCAGGTCATTTCCACCCACAGTTACATACTCCTTCTTTGTAGTGTTCATATAGCTACAGTGAATGGAAGTGATTTGACTGAAAAGTAATTCAAAATATGTATTTTCAGCCATGTTTGTTCTCAGGTTAGACTGGGTTTATTGATTTGGGTTGCTTCTCACATGCATGCACATTTCAGCCTCACTGGGGTGGCATTAGAATTGAGGTGTGGTAGAGGCAAGAAGAAAGCAAGACCCATTCATTGCCTTCACCAGCTGCCAACACTTAGGTTTTATTAAAAAGTCAATGTGGAATTGAGGTGGTTGTCAGTCCTGAAAGTGGTTTCAAGTCCAGTGATGTGCTATCTGCTCTTTTGTTTTGTAACACCAATGAATTTTTCTCACTTTTCTTAAGCACTCAATCCAAACTTGAGTCTATTGGCTAAAGTTGGTAATTTAAATTTCAGTCAACACTTATATTTAAAATCAGAAGTTTGGTGACCTTTGATTCTTCCTGCTGCAACTTTTCAGAGGCTGTTAATTTTAAAGGCAGTGTAGCAGCCAGCCAAACTTCAGGCTGCATTCAAGTTGCTTGTGAACCAAATTCTCTTCATTTCTGAGGTGCAAGGTTTAGTTGTATGTTACTTATATAAAATAAATTGTCTGTTTTCGCTGTTCTGTTTAGTGGTCACTGAGCAAGTATGTTATAGAACTGAGCTTCATTTATGCTTCTGAAAATCTGCTGCCTGTTCACAATCCTATGCTGTTTTCTTGCTTTGTTTAAATCTGCCTCTGCTTAAGTTTGTGTCTATGACTGAATGTAACTTTATCTTTCCCATTGTGATCTGTTCCTTGAACCAGCTTGTTAAAGGCTTAGATGCCTTTCTTTTTCTCCTGCTTGATTTAGCAATTAAAGCTCTTACGTGATAGTTGAATCTTAAGATACTACACTGTACATTCTGTTTTGCATATTTGTGTGAAAGAATATTTAGCTGTTTAATCAAGGAGAGTACAGAAAATAGTTATATCTGCTATAATGTGTTTTTCTTCAGAGTTTAGATTTCTGTTTTTTGGAATAGCAGAAAATTAGTGTGTGCATGGAAAATGAGATTAATGCTGTAGGGTATTTGAACTTTAGATTGTGATGTTCGGTTTCGGATATACATGGCTTTTGTTTGAAGTCTTAGGGCAGTTTATGTTTAGAAACAAACAAAAACAAAAAACCACCAAACCCAACCCAGAAAATACCTTTTAAAATTGAATTTTGTAAAGAACTAGGCTGAGGAAGTTTTGCCTGTTTTAAGGAACATTGCAACTGTATCAAGTACTGAAAACCTGAGAACTTGTTCACCTTTAAAAACATTTGTCATTTACCTTGAATCACTTGTTCCATTTTGATAGCCTCCTTCATATAGAAAATATAGCATGAGATGTCAGTTTAAATGCCAGTCTAACAGTGCTCTATCTTCTATGTGAAAGGAAGTATTCTGTACATTTTTCCATGTTTGACATCATGGTGTTTTGAATAACCATGTTCCATATTCATATCAATTTTTTGTTTTTGTTTTCAATTTATGCACAGCACTTGCTCTGAAATTTGGGGACTGAGTACACCAAACACGATAGATCAGTGGGATACAACAGGCCTTTACAGCTTCTCTGAACAAACCAGGTGAATATTCTGCCCTCTCTCGCATCATAAAAATCTTGTGGGAGGGATTGGCTTTGGAGGGTCTGTAATGGGATGCTTTAGCTATAAAATAGACTACAATGATTCCTAGGCCTCTCATAGTACAGCATTTTGAAGTATTTCCTTGCCACTGTAGAAATCAGTGTGTTCACAGCTGATGTTTTGACCAATGAAACTCTTAATTCTACAATTATTCGTTTTTCATGCCAGTGCTATTGAAAGAATGGGAAGACTTGTTAAATGCAAGCTCTAATGTGATTTGGTATTTATAGTAATAAAGTTGGAAAACGTAATTCTTTAGACCTAATTTTGCAAAGTGTTTAAACTGCTTTGTATGCCACAAGCTTTCAGTTAAATCATGCTAATTGGCTCTGATATGAGCTACTAAAGAATTGTTTGTAAATTCTTCAGTAGTTAATGGTGGGCAAATTCTAAACAGGGTCTTTATTTTTTCATGTCACATTACTTGATTTGTGTATTGAGGTTTGTCTCCCATCCCATAACAATCATAAACATCTGCATTTGTGTAAGCATATGCAGTCTGTCTTAAAACTAGCAAAACATTTTCAGCTGGTAGCAAGGCAGATGAAGTGGAGGTAAACTGTACAGCCCTTACAAGATGTGCGTTCATGTTTTTTGCATTGCAGTTATACTGCCATGTGGATCACTTGGGCAGCTGACTGCTTATAGGCTTATTTGCAGTCCTGTGGGAGTTCTTACGCTTAAAACCATAAAGCATCCATGCCACAGCAAAGCCTTGAGGTGCCTTTAGCAGTGGAAGGGACCATTTAAGTGTGTGATTTTATTTTTAACAACTGTCTTCTGCATTTAAAAAAAATTATATGAAGCAATCATTCTAAATACTTGGTTGGATGTAAGTGGCTTTTAATGAACTCTAAATTCACTGGCATTAATTTGAGCAGCTCAAAAATGAGTTGACATTGCTTGATACGATCATTTTCATTGCATTTGAAGCCTTTTAACTAGAGTATAAATGTCACTAGCAGAGTCAACGCACTGAATGCTGAGAATGAGCTGCCCGTGTGTGTACTCTGTTTCTGGAGTGATCGAGGCAGTCTGTAAATGCTTCTCAACGTCTTTCCCCTGCAGATCTCTCGATGGCCGTCTGCAGGTGTCTCACCGCAAGGGATTGCCACATGTCATTTACTGCCGCCTCTGGCGCTGGCCAGACCTTCATAGCCACCATGAACTTAAGGCAATTGAAAACTGTGAATATGCTTTTAATCTTAAAAAGGATGAAGTATGTGTAAACCCTTACCACTACCAGAGAGTGGAGACACCAGGTAGGAGAACCACTTCTGGCTTTCTGTGGCAGCATCTGTTTGTGTTTGTTCAGCATAATGTTTTAAATGAAAAATAAGAGAAAAGTGGTGTCCTCTCTTGATAGAAGTAGAAGATTCTTTTTGAGATCATATCCCTGAATGTTTTTAATAGTAAAGGTACTGAAAGATCTTTAAAAATGTGTTTATGAACACTTATAGGACTGCTAGCAGTTTCCAGTTGGCCAGGTGCAATTCAGATTGAATAAGGCAAAAAAATTGATTTATGTTTCCTATTATGGAATAGTCTTAAGGCACCTCAGGAATCCCATCTCTTCCAGTAACTAGCTGTGCAAATGTATTATTAGCAGTGCTAAGTTTCAGAAGATTTCAAAACATCTGAAGAAACTCGTAGATGTTTTAGATTTATTTTTTTAATTTTAGCTCACAAACTCATGTATTTTGATTACCAATGATTTTTGAATTTTGCCTTTCCAGTCTTGCCTCCCGTGCTCGTGCCGCGGCACACTGAGATCCTAACGGAGCTGCCACCTCTGGATGACTATACCCATTCCATTCCTGAGAACACTAACTTTCCAGCTGGGATTGAACCACAGAGCAACTACATACCAGGTATTTTCTTAACTCCCACTGTAGACAGCATTTTCTGACACTGTGCCACTGGAACAAAGATGGTCATTTCATCCTTGTAAGTGATCAAATTAATTGAACTATTCACCACTAAATTAGATTCAGTTGATTTTGTGTATTAATTCCAGTGGAAATACCTAAATACTGTTGTTTGCAGAACATGATTATGCATGAAACCATACTGCTGTCATTTCACAATAGCTTTCTTGGTTTCAGTAGCTTATTTGAGATTCAGAATGCTAATAAGTGCAAAGTAGATCTTCACCTTATGCCTTAATCCTCTTTCACAAACATACAGGGGTTGCCAAATGCTGTGCATTGGAGATTGAGTAATAAACTGATGCTCAATCTCATCCTATGTAATATGTGGAGAAAAATTTTTAAGTTGCAAAGCAGTGACTTAAAAAGTGTCTTGATCTGTAGTTCACATCAATAGTGGTTTGTTTTAGCTTTTTGTTACTATTGTACGCATATTGTTTTGTCTTTTTTAGTATGAAAGAACAACTTAACAATATTGAACTGTTAAAGAATTTCTCCTCCCCCTCTTTGCCCCTTTTTCCACCCCAGAACAAACAACAATGCTAATCTGCTGCACCCAATACCCTGTTACCCTCATTGAAATATAAAATCAGTGACCTTTTTTTTTCTGCCCCAACTTCCTGTTTCCTATCTCTTCAGGAAGTCGCCTGGAGTGTAAAACCAAGTAAAGCTGAGGTTTGCTCATAAATGTTTAATGCATTCATGTTACGAATAAACTGAAAATTCACATCTGGAGTCTCTGAAAGAATGAGATAACTGCCCCAAAACTCCAATATGTGCAATGTGTAAATTGTACCTACAGGTCTTAAGCGGAATGTTGCTTGTGATTTCTTTAAATATATCAGAGAATGGAAGTGGCATTAAACAATCAATTAATTTGACCTTTCTGTTTAATTTTAGCCACATCTGTTGCCACGTTTATAGAGCAGTTTAAGGCGCTAGAAGTTGGTGTTGCTTTCTTAACTTCTGTGTACTTTCTTGACTCACACTGAGGGCTTTTGATAACATTTGCAAATAGCTTACTGGAAAGCCACCTTCTCCAAATCCAGTGCTGTGGAAATGAGCTAAACTAGTTATTCGCAGGAAGTTTGCTCAAGGTGATTTTAGGAATTCACATGATCTTCAAATGTTTATGCAGGTTACCACACCTCCTCCTCTTTGTCACTAACAGCCTCCTCCTGTGCTCATATCATGATATGTTACTTTATTAGACCTTGCTGGCTTAATCAGGAATGCTTGTTTGGGTTCTGATAAGCCTTGTGTGCCTTGAGAGAGCCTTCATCAGAGAACCATTTTCTTCAGTGGTAGGGCAGGCTCACATCTGGAAGCTTTATACTTCAGTCCTGTCTCAGTACTTGATCTGCAAGAGAGCTTGGTGGTCATGAAGGTGCTGGGTGGCCTTTGGGAGCTGCGTGTTCCAGTTCAGGTTCTGGATGGGCTGAACTGCATTGGCCATACTTCTGGCAGCACTCAAGGTCTACTACCAATTTTTAGTGCCTCACCTGAGTGTTCATTTCCAGCTGTGTGGTGCTCAACCTCTGACCCTAAACTATTAACAGTACTAGGTGGAGTAAATTTTCTCTGTTCAGGCAGAGACTAGACATGGAAAATAATTTGTGCCAAAGAGCCTAGATTAGCAACTGGAAACAGGAGTCATGGGTTGGATTGGAAGTGTGTACAGACATTTTGCCACAGCTGTGGGCTTAACTATAGCTAAGGATTTGGAGAAGGGTGGAGTTCCCTTTATTGCAATGGATGCTGTAAAAATTTTCAAAATGGGTATGATTTTTGTTATCTTATTTCTTACTAGTGAAGATTTCCCTTAATTGTCCTTTTAAATTCTCACTTGAATTCTGTCACATCTATACTTAGCACACAGAATGAATCAAAGATAAAATTCTCTCAGTTCATTTTAATTTAATCAGCTGACTTAATCTAGTTTCCTCTCACTGGTTTTCTTCTGATCTCACAATATTGCAGTACATCTCAGGCATGATGCTTGTTATAATTTTATTTCTTAAGTCAAAAAGCTTTATCTTGAAATTTCTGCTATTTGGTAATAATGTAATTAAAGGTGTTTAACCCCTGGAAGTTTCAGAGACAAATCTAAGGTGATTGTAGAGGTAGTTAGCTTCAAACACCTTCACTAAAAAAACCACAGGTTTTGCCTTTAATATGTAGGAAAAGACATTTGCCCAGTTCAAAGAAAATTATTTCCTGAAAGGCAGTTGTTTAACTCGTTATCTGGATTACAAAAGAACATTTTGAATGGAGAAGAGGAACATGCATACACTCCTGTGTTTTGAAGATATTTCTGAGGAATTCGACACAGTTTCTGGTATCAGAACGCTTCAAAGTTGGTACTGAATTTACTTTGGTCTGTGAAACTCTGTCTTTAAAGAAAGCTAGTTAAAAGAATAGATTATAGTTTTAATAGAGCTTAGATGTATTAGTAATAATTATAATAGAACTTGTGCAGTGTTCTAAGTTAATATAGTTATAAATGAGTCAAATCAACCATTGTGTATTGAAGAAATATGTATTTGGGCACTGAGCTGAAAAACAACCTTTAAATCTAACAACTTCAGTAAGGTGTGGGAGGGTATCTGACCTGATGGTTATCCTACATAAAGACAGTTCACATTATTTTTTTGTGGAAATCAGCAGATGTTTTTTTTCATTTGTAATTCTACTAAATATGAAAGCTGTTGATCGCAATTGCAAAATTGTTACTCATTGTAGTGACAGCATCTTGTCTTAAATGGAACAAACAAGGATTCTGGTATTTATGTAACATATTTGAGCAACTGACTGACATACAAAAGAAGATACATAGCAATAAGGCAGGTAACATATTTGAAGTCCTACTTGAAGGAAAAAGGGAGAGCAAAATGACATTCGGATTCAGTGTTCAGGTGCTATAGAGCTCATGAAGATGTCATGACAAAATGCACAAGAATTAGATCTTAGAGCAGGTTCCCTAGTCATTTTACAAATCAGTGGATTTTTCTTTTTTTTTTATAGAAACACCTCCTCCAGGATATATCAGTGAAGATGGAGAAACAAGTGACCAGCAGCTGAACCAAAGCATGGATACAGGTAGCATTTATTTTTCATTACTTTCAAGGTTTTGTATTACTAGCTGTGATACTTCTGCATAGAAGCATGAATTGAGCCCAAAAGATGGTGGCAGTTTTCCTCTTTAAAACGTGGTGTTTTCTGCCTAAAATACCACTTTCAGTCTTTAATGAACAAAACAATTTTTGCCAGGGAAATGCTTTTAAAACATTCTGTGACATATTAAGTATATTACATTTGTTCTGTAACAGAAGTATGCAAGTCTAATTAAGACTTCACCAGAAACCCTTAAAATAGATTTTAATAGCTAATTGCTTTCAACCATTACCCAGTAAACGGGTTCATTGAAGCACAATGTCTGTTGGCCTAAACAAGTTACAGACAATCTGTGTTCTGAGAAGCAGTCTTTAACTCTGACAAACTTAGCACTTCTGCCATATTTCAAATTAATTCTTGTGTGGAAGGCTTTGTGGCAAAGGTAGCAGCATTTCTGCCCTTTTATGTAAGGGTTTCTAGATAATGTGGTTGACCTTAGATTTGGATAAAGCATGGTTAATGTGCTGGGTAAGAACCTCCTGCTGTGTGTTGGCAGACTTAAGTGTGCTTGGTTAGCTAATGTTAGCAACCATTTTCAGTAAGTTGTAATCAGCTGCACCAGTTTCTGTAAGAACCTCAATATTTTCTCACTATGTGACAATAAATACCTTAATTAAAACAGCCTGACATCAGCAGTCACTGTAGGAATGTTTCTGTGAAAGCCTTTCTGTATTTTGCCACCTTTGTGCAAACTGTTGGAGGGTTCATGTTTTTCTGAGTTTTTAAATTCCTCCTCTGGGAAAGATACTTCCTCAAATGAGGAAATCTAGCTTGCTCTTTTCTGGCGATCATAGAATCATAAATTATAGAATGGTTTGGGATAAAAGGGACCTTAGAGACCGTCTCTTTCCACCAGGGACACCTTCCACTACCCCAGGTTGCTCCCCGCACTGTCCAGCCTGGCCTTGGACACTTCCAGGTATGGAGCAGCCACAGCTTCTCTGGGAAACCTGTGCCAGGGCCTCACCATCCTCAACATAAAGATTTTTTTCCCAATATCTAATCTAAATCTCTCCTCTTTCAGTTTGAAGCCTTTCCCTCTTGTCCTGTCACTACCTGCTCTTGTAAACAGTCCCTTTCCAACTTTCTTGAAGGCTCCCTTCAGATACTGGAAGGTTTTTCCAAAGATAAAAGTTTTCCTTTGAGAACCAAAAGCCAATGTGTTTGCTTGTCTTATCCACTCTTTCTTATCTGCTTTTTTAGTGAATTTGGGAAGTGACTACCTTCTCACTGGAGAAGTGCATAAATAACGTTGAGAGTGTGCACGAAGTGGCAGAGGTCTGCCAAATACAACGCTAAGTTAATTGAATCTTTACAAGGAGGGGTGGGTATCCAGAAGTCTGGAAAATTGAATGAAATCATAATTCAGAGTAAGTGTGTGATATTCCAGAAAACTGAGGTTTCTTACTCTGAAAAACTTCATTGTAAACCTGATTTAGATAATGGTTATGCTTACTGACCTGAAATAAAAACCATTTGCTCTGAAACCTGTCTGTCTTGCTTCAACAGGATCTCCAGCAGAGCTGTCTCCTAGTACTCTCTCTCCAGTTAATCATAGCCTGGGTAAGCTGGAAATACTTACAATTATTTCTTCATTTGTAGTGACTCTTCATTATATATGTAATTACTTTAAAAGTGAAAATGCACTATAAGAAATTAAGAGCTATATTAAGAGGTGACTGTTGGGTTGGCTTCCTGGTGTTAAATATAATAGGGCTGGGTTAATCACTTGTTAACAATTACTGTATTTCTGTACTTGCTGAGCTTGTAGCAAGGAGAGTGATATATTTGTGTGTGTATAAATGCAGGAATAGCATTTATAAAATTAATAGTTTAAAAGATGTTTGCCTGTCTGTAATGCTGCCAAGACTTGCTGTCTTCCTTGTGTGTGTGTTCTGCTGCTCTTCTCATGTACTGTTTCACCTGTAATCACAGCACAGTTGTTGCTCCCACATTAGTAGCCCACCTGCTTTGATCCAGTGCTATTGCTGTGTGTCTGTGTAAGTGCCTCAGGAAGATCAGATTGCCATGGGTTTGTTTAAGGAATGGTGACAGGATGTGACAGGAAAATGCAGAACGCTGAGTAAGTAATTAGGGTAGGTAAAAAGGGGAAGCAATGAAGTAAAAACCTGAGGATACACAGGGAAGATACTTTAGTAGGGGACAATAAAGTAGCCTAGAACTATCTTTTATCTAAAGAGACAGTGTAATACAAGAGAATGTGATTTTTCATATTATTTTTTTTTTCATTTTGTTGTTCAGTGTTTGATAGTTTAATGTTTTCTTTAATGCTGCCAATATGCTTGCAAGCTACAGAAAAGGCAACAGGAATGTCTCAAAGTCTGGTGCTCAGAGCACCATTAGCTTAATCATTTTGCCGAGCAAAATGCAAGTACTGAACTAAATGAGCTGTGGTCAGATTAGATCACCCTTTCTTCCCCTCCTCCTTCCCTTTTGTGGAAGATTGAATTCCATTCTGTTTACTGAAGTAGGTAAAAAGGACAGCAAGCAAAATATAGTTTGAGTACTCTGAGGAGACTACTGCTGTCATTTCTGGGAGAGACAAATAGCAGAGTAGATCGATCTACTTTCAGCCTCAAAATTTGTGTTAAGCTTGGTTTTTAAAATTTTTTTTTAGACTTGCAACCAGTTACTTACTCGGAGCCTGCGTTTTGGTGTTCAATAGCATATTATGAATTGAATCAAAGAGTGGGAGAAACCTTCCATGCGTCTCAGCCTTCCCTGACTGTAGATGGCTTTACAGATCCATCAAATTCAGAGCGATTTTGTCTAGGTCTGCTTTCCAATGTAAACAGAAATGCTACAGTGGAAATGACAAGGCGACATATAGGTAAAGATCTCTGATCTTTTAACTATTTAATTTCATCTTGTTGGTTAAATTATCTGGTATGACCTAGGTAGGATGTGTATTGGGTTCCTTACACCTTTGTGCAGCCAGCCATCAGCCCTATCTCTCAGGGCTTGTCAAGGATTGTTTGGTGTCTCTGTGTCTGTGGAAAGACACAGAGTCACTCCTTCTGAAATTAGGGAGAAATGTAGCAGCCTCTGCCACTAGCTTGAACTGGGAGGAGATGTAGTGATGAGCTGAAAGGAGCTGCCTTTCCTCACTCAGTAGCCCCATAGCTGGTGTCAGCTGCAGTCACACAGCTGTTGCACTGAGGGCAGCGCAGGAGGAGCCACTCTACTGTGTGGCAGTCCTGTAGCTCACATTGCTGTTCTTGCCTTCTGGAAAATTATGGACCAAATTTGTGCACAAATGCATCCTGGGGGGCAGGTTCATGGCCCCCAGGCTCCTCAGTGGGCCACTCTGCCCTGGGCAGCATTTGTATTCAGAGTTGCTTGTAATTGAAATTTAAGCTTTATTTGCAAAATATTCCCATCTTGCTTAATTTACTGTAGTTTATAAAATGCAGAATGGACACTGATGGGATGAAATTCTGAATTCTTTTCCAAAATGGGAAAAGTTGCTATTGAGAACCCATTGTTTTGATGTGATTAAGATTTTCTTTGTAATGGTTAGTCAAGAATATTGTTGTCCACAATGCAGTGTCTGACTTTGGGTTCTTCAGTAAACTACCTTCTTTGTTGTTTTTTTTTTTCTTGGATACTTTTATTAGCAACATTTACGAGATATTTTCGTTGTTGTTTTCGCTTGCAGCGAAATTTAAGCCTCTTCTGTAGAACCAACTCCTTTTATGCTAAGTCCAAATGTCAAATCCAAATGCTTGTCTAATGAAATTTTAGATGTGTGGAAACCCAGGCTGTGCCTCTGCTGACTGGTCAAAATGATCAATGATGAGGAAAAACAAAAATCAAACAAAAATCTCTCTTACTCTTTAATAGAGGAGCTCACATTTTGTTAGAAAAATTGTTTTAATGAAAAAGGTGAATGGAAACTATCACCTATAAAGTCGCTGTTAATTATAAATAGTTCTCTCTGGGAGATAAAGTGCACATTATTTACTTTCTGCTAGAAATAAACCACGCAGATTTGTTTTCCACTCAGAGAAACAGAACAAAATAACAATTTAAAGGTGGACAATTGAGGGGTTTTTTTTCACAGATTTTTTTTTTTTTTAATAAGGCTAAATGAAGTCATACTGTTTTTGTTAAAGCAGTACAGGGTATGCAGTGGGTTGTGAAATAGTGTGGGTGCATGCAAGCAGAGAGTGTTGCAGTGGTGATCTTGTGTTTTCTCTTTTGACCATAGTGGCCTGTGCTGCTTCACATACAATGCTTTAATACTGGCACAAGTTATAATTCTGTTTTTATGAACACTGCTTCTGAGCTTGGATTTGGTTACAAGCCATTATACGGCTGGAAGAGGCTCTTTCACTTTTTACCAAATATTATTCTGCTTTTCCTTCCTATATTGTACATTTGTGGGAGAAAAATGCAATTTAATTGTGTTCTGCTCCTGCTACAGCTGTCAGCACAGCAGTGAGGTCCTGTAGATAATTGATTTCTGTTTCTGTTGTAAAGAAAACCTTGGCCCTCTCTGAAAAATAAACTCCCTTGTTCCCTAATCTGCTTGTGTCATACCATAACAAGAGTTCCTTTGGATTTTACTGCAGGCAGGGGAGTGCGTCTGTATTACATTGGCGGAGAAGTTTTTGCCGAGTGCCTGAGTGATAGCGCGATCTTTGTTCAGAGCCCCAACTGTAATCAAAGATACGGCTGGCATCCTGCAACTGTGTGCAAAATTCCTCCAGGTTGGTAGACTACCAAAGGTCTTGTGTGAAAATACCCAATGGAGGTATTCACTAAATGACATTTACTTCCCTTTTTTTGTAATTTCTTCATGAAAGATGAAAAGAAAAGATTCAGGCTTTTGTGTAGCAGACGCAAGTATATTCACTGACTGTACTTTTTTGACTTCTTTATAGGATGCAATCTAAAAATCTTTAATAACCAAGAATTTGCTGCTCTTCTGGCTCAATCTGTGAATCAGGGCTTTGAAGCAGTTTATCAGCTTACTAGAATGTGTACCATAAGAATGAGCTTTGTTAAAGGATGGGGGGCTGAATACAGGTAAGAAAAGAAAACCCTTTGTTCTTAAATATGGAATTAATAGTTTTTTGTTCTTTCACTACTATACCATTTCTGTCCGGCTTGAAAGCCATTCATACACACTTCTTGCTTCTATTGTGGATATTCTTCCTGAAAATTGAACCCATATTTTCCTTTTTTTTCCCCCCTTCAGCTATGGAACTGCTAAGTTACAAAGTCCATAAACTGTTCCTAGTGTTGCATTGAAGCCAACTGTTGAGCAAGGAGTGTCGTCAAAGTTCCGTTCCCGTGCTCACCCCTGCTGGCTTGCATGTTGTGGTGAAATCTGCAACATCATTTTGGAGTTTCCAGTTGGTGCTGTGAGATTATTTGTTAGACTTGCAGTCATTCTGGTCTCTGTCCTGTTCTGCATGTAGCATGAGTTCCTTAGGCTGTGGTTCAGGATGGTACCCAGTGGAGAGACTTGCAGTGCATCTTGCAGAATGAAATAGCTGGAGAGCTAAGGGATGGCAAGTATTTTGGAACTGGCAGTGGAAAAAGCTTTGCAAGAAAGAGTAAGAGGACTCTGTTTATGTAGTAAAACTTCTAAAAACAGTTCTTTGAGTGGAAAAAAATAGCATTCTATCTGCTTTTGAATGGATTCCAATTGTGTTCTCTATTAACACAAATGAAAAGCTTTAGTCGAGGACAATGCCTGTTTTCAATGTAGTATGGAAATTCAAGAAGAGGAGGAATTGACTTCTAACTGAGCAGTTTTAAAGATTTCATTATTTTGGAGAGCTAGTGCTGTGGTTTTAAACGAATTTCTTAAACCTCTCTAGAAATTGTCCACTGAAAGAATGAAGTCTGACATGTCAATACCCTAATGCAATACATAATGATTTTTTTATTTAAGCTATACCATTTCTGAAGTTGAATAATGATATGTAGGCTCCACTTGGGTTGATTCCTTTACCTACTCTTGAAATACATATATGTAAATAGCAGTGTCAGAATGTGGGGGAGGTTTCTCAGCTAAATGAAGCCAATTTTGTAATAGTCTAATGAGAAATTTGAGTAATGGAATAAATTGGTACCTCTTTGTTAGGAAGAGATACACAAGAAAAAATCTGGCTCAGGTTTAAAGAGCTATTGGATTTGGATCTGAAGGAGTATGTATACACAGGCATAATTAAATACAACATTCAAATCTGAGCAGAAGAAAGGCTTAATCAGTCAGATTATGTAGAGGCACCTTGAAGTAAGCAGTGTAAGTGCTCATTTAAAACTGTGGGGAGGCTTTTGTTAAAGTTACTTCTGAGTGGGGAGAATGTTGGTGGTTGATCTATAAGCTGTTTGTAGACCATAGGATTGAAAAAGCTGCAGTGGTAGCATTGCCAGAATAACACAAAAACTGATTACTGACTCATGCTGAACTAATTTCTTTGCACCTCTCTTTAAGATGATGCTAATAAATTACTGATACACAAAGCTTGTAAATATGCTGCAGTTGGGATTAGAGCAAGAAGAGGTGGCTCTAACGACACAACCTTGAATTTAAATTAATGTAGTCTGACTTGACAAAATGGACTAGGAAACACTGTAAACCCCATCACTCTTGTTAAAACATCTTCATTATTATGTGCTTCATTATTATGCCAAAAAAACATTTCTCATAGAATAGGCTTAGGCAAAGGCAAAGCATTACTTGCATTTTAGGCATATGTGCATAAATGTGCAGGTATGGCAAGATGATACGTTTTATAGGCTTGGTAGACAAAATACCTAACAAAGATTTTTGTTTTGTTACAAATTTGTTGGCCCAAATTTGGCATGGTAGAAGTTCAGATCACCAGTCAAATGTTCATTTTATTCATGGTCCAGGATCACCTTCTAAAGAAAGTTCAGCAGAGGTAATTAGTGATCTTTGAACTGGAAATCTGTGGTTGAAGAAGCTTAGATTTTAGCTTTAAGATGGTTGCTCAGTGACTGTCGCTATTTTGTCAGTTTTTACCAGCCTGGTGCAAAGTGATGATTGTTGAACAGAACCAGTTGTAAAATTTTGAGAAAGTGTGTTGTGAAACACACTGTAGTGGAGCTGACAGTGGTGGAACAATGAACTTCCTTCTTTGGGAGAGGATTCAAGAGTAAATGGAACTGTATTTCCTGTGGTTTAGATTTGTTTTTCTATTGTATCACTTAGTTCTGTCATAGGCATTCAGGGCTAAGATAACTGTTTGGTAGAGTGCTGAAAGAACACAGACCCCAGCTGCTGTCTGCTCCTAGAAAATGTGAAACTTGTGAAATCAATCTTCACTGTCTTAATCTCTCTGCCTTTTCAGTTCAGTTCCTCTGTTTATATAAACAGATTTCCTTAAAGCAAAGGGCTGCAGTGCTGACAGTAAAAATGAAGGAGCTAGGTTTGTGTCTGACTAATCTGCTGCCTTTGAATCTTGGGATAGCTGGAATTACTAGGAAAAACTGGCTTAGCAACCAGAGTCTTGCCAATCTAGTCAGGGAAAACTTCCATGCCTGGAGTGGATACAGTGAAATAGGATTTCTCAGGTAGTTTGTTTTGTCCAATACTGATTTCTTTACTTTGGAGATGAGAAGGAAGGGTTTTGAACAACAGGTCTCAGAAATAAAGGTACATGAGAGAAAGAATGAAGCTTTTATGGTTGTCTTTATGGTTCAGCTTTACTGAAGTTTTCTATATAATGTTTAAATAAGGGCTTCTATTGTGGAAAATTATAGGCAACTTAGTATAGCAGAGAAGGGAAACACAATTTCTACTTCAGTTGTTTGTGTGAGGATGTTGCATGTTCAAAACACTTGTAGAAGTGTAAAATTACAGGAAATCAGAGATAAAGTTTGGCGTTCCTTTGAGATACCATCACTTAGCACAGTATAACCACACACCATGTTTTGATAGTGTTTCTGACGACATCTGCTGATTTCCTTGTACATTCATCATTTATATTTTGCTCCAAAAAGCCAGAGCTTATGATCACCATCAACATTGTGCTGTTTGTCCATGGTGACAGTGCAGAGCCAAGGATTGCTATTCCGTATTTCTCAGTAGTTGTCTACAAAATTCAAATCCACTTACGCATGCAGACTCTTGAAAGGTTGAGATACAGCGGCACACAGTTGTTTGTGGTGTGAACACTGCATCACTTGGACAGCCTTCACTTCTGAAGTCTTCTGCATCACTTTAACCTTCACTGAATTTCTTCTTAGAAGTAAGGCTCTTGGTGTGGCACTTGAAGGAAGTACTTGTGTTGTTATTCTCCAAGGTGAAATATCCTTCATGTATTATGGACAAACATGTAATTACTGATGTGTCTTATATATGTGAAGTGCTCTGGGGCTTTTTTTTTTTTTTCTGGAAGAAGTTCAGTAACAGTTATGGTAATGGTTGCAGATTTTTATATCTCTGTGTACTAGATATGGATAGAAAGATATTTAATCACATGATGCAGAATTTTGTGGCAGCTGAACCTGCTTTCTGGCTGCAGTGAGTTGACCCTGGCTGGATTCCAGGCAGCCACCAAAGGATCTCTCTCACTCCCCTCCACAGCTGGACAGGGGAGAGAAAATAGAGCAAAAGTTCATGAGATAAGGACCGTGAGAGACCCTCACCTAATACCATCGTGGGAAAAACAGGCTTGATCAGAGTTATTGAAAGAATTTATTGCTAACACAGGCAGAGCAAGATAATGAGAATTGAAACACCTCCCTGCCTTGCCAGCTCTACCTTCTCCCCCAGCTGCAAGGGGAGGTAGGAGTGTGTGTCTTGGTCAGTTCTTCACATGTTGTTCCTGCCACTGCTCAGGAAGAGAACTTGGAGTCCTTCCCCTGCTCCAGCATGGGGGTCCCTGTCACAGGAGACACTTTTACATGAACTTCTCCAGTGTGAATCCATCCTATGGGCAACAATTCCCCATGAACTTCTGCATCATGGGGCACTCTTCCATGGGGCACAGTCCTTCAAGGACAGGCTGCTCCAGCATGGGCTCCCCTCTTCACACAGAGGGATCACAGCCTTTCTCAGGCATCCCCCTGCTCCCGTGTGCGCTCCTCCAGGGGCTGCAGGTGCATCACTGCATCCCTGTGCCCTCCATGGGCTGCAGGGAAATCTCAGCTCTGGCACCTGGAGCAGCTCCTGCCCCTCCTTCTCCACTGCCCTTGGTGTCTGCAGGGTTGTTCCTCTCACATGTTCTCACCCTGCTCTTCTGTGGCCACAATTAAAACTGGGCAACAACCTAATTTTTTTTTCTTAAATGTTTTATCCCAGAGGCATCACCATTCCTAGCTGGCCCAGCCTTGACCGACATCACGTCCATCTTTGGAGCTGCCAAAGGATACCTCTGCCAGACATGGAGGAGGCTTCCGGTGGAAGCTCCCCTGCTACCAAAACCTGGTGACACCAACCCAATATAGTGACTTTTCCCTATTCTTTGTTTTCTAGGCGGCAGACAGTAACAAGCACTCCTTGCTGGATTGAGCTTCACCTGAACGGGCCTCTACAGTGGCTGGACAAAGTATTGACTCAGATGGGCTCCCCTTCAGTTCGCTGCTCCAGCATGTCCTAAAACTCTCCTCTCTCACCAGTGGGCTAATAATAGAGTCCAGTCAACAGACTTAATATAACAGCTCGTCTGTCGTAGTATTTGTGTGTGGTCCCCATGAACTGTTTACTATCTAAAAAGGTTTTTTAAAAATAAAAAAAAAAAAAGGAAAAGAAAAAAAAAAGAAAAACAGCACTTGAGGTCTCATCAGTTAAAGCACCTTGTGGATTCTGTTTCCTATACTCTGATACTAGATGAAAATTTAGTGTATAGAAAAGCCTTCTTCAGAAAGAAGGGACAGTTCTAAAGACTCTTTAATGGTGTTTTTTATTGGGTATATAATTGAGTGTCCTAATGGTTATCAATAACATGAATAGCTAAGTATATATACAGATAATGTATCACGATCTCAAATATCACAGTATTGTGCTGTTCTACATTTTAGTTCCCATAAACAGCCATTTTGGTTTTTGATTGGGGCTGGTATCTCTTAAAATTCCAAGACTTTGCTCCCTTTTTCTTTTATATTTTTTTAATATAAGCAGGTTTTCAAGTTGTCCTAAACACAAAAAGACTTTCCTTATAGAACAGCTGAATTTTTTGCTGCGTTCTTAAAGAGAAAATCCCTCCATTGGAAGGGAAAGAAATGTTTTGAGATTCATCTGTGAAGTCTTAAGACACTTTATATACTTAATGGGGCCTAAAATGAATTCATGTTACAAATTCTGAGTGTCCATCACACTAGCAGTCTACTTTTTGATACCCATCTGAGTTGATGCATCTGTTGCCAGCAGTGTTACTAGCAGTGATGTAATTTGGGACTTTTTTTGTACCTTGGATCATTGAAATGAGTGGTTTTTCTCATGGACTGAGAATTTACCATGGCTTTGGATTTTTGATTAAGTGCACAAGGTTATTGGCTTACCCCTTACATCTGTATTTTTTTTCATTGAATAAGTCTTACCCCTTATCATCTGTATTTTTTTCATTTTTTCATGTGTCACTAAAAATAATGGGGTTTAGTTTTTGGAGCCGTATACCTTGAAAAATCATTTCCCGGGGTAAGCTAGACTCTTTTTGTTTAGGTTTTAAATAGATGCAGCTTCTTAACATATTTCAGTAACAGAATTTAAATTTCTTATCTGAGTCGCTTTTATAGTTTACTTACACACCAGATCATACGCATTCATTATGTCATAATGGGCCTTGTTATTAAAAGTAGTTGCTTCTGCAAAACCTCTAGAATAGTGGTTGCTGAGGTATGACCAGCGAAGGAGGACTTCCAGGTTCTTCATGACAGTGCATGTTATTGTGAACCCTTGGACACTACAGCTGCACCATATTAAAAATATTCTGAAATATATTCTACAAATAAGTCTGGGTTGGGGCTGGGTTGGGAAACTGTATAGAAGGGTTATTCTGACTTGAAAAATACACATCTTACTAACAATCTTGTGATCTAGCTGTCTGTCATTCTTTTGTTATTGTGGCAGTAGCAGGATTGCCTTTGTCTGTTTTTTTCCATTGTTTCATCAATTACACTAGTTCTGTACTTTGTAAGTACAGCTAGTGATAACTTAGCTTCGAGAACAAAAATGTGGCCAGTGTTACAGCTTTTAATCACTTGACTGAATTGATGATAGTGATGGATATTTTTATGCCATAATGACTAGGGCATAGAAGCAATACCAAAAAATCAAGCCTTGAGAAAATGGGCCAGACACCTTTCAAAAATTGGCAAAGCAGTTACCAGTTTGTGCTAGTTTTACCAGTAGACTAATGTATTGGTAGAACTTGTGAATTTAAGAGATAAGCTTCATGCGTGTTGCATTTGCCTAATATGTGAATACACTAATAAAAGTTTTAATTCTCACAATGGCTGTTTGGTTGTTTTTTGGGGTTTTTTTTAATTAATTGTTGTCTATATTTTTTTGTTGAAGGTTAGGAGTTGCCCTAACCCACCCAGTTAAATGGTACAAGTGTTCTGCATGTGGTGGGTGGAAAGGTAGAGTTTAGATCTTGGTACCACTTTCCAAGCAGCTGTTGTGGAGGTTCTGGATTTCTGTGTGTTTGGTGTTACAGACTCCTACTCCTGATGGAGTTTATTAAAGCAGTTGTTTTTCTCTGCCACAATCAAATTGCATCCTACTGTCTCAGGTGTTTACTTTCACCTGTGAGACAGATAAGAGCAACTTGTCTGGGTCAGACTGACATTTTTGAGCAGGTTGCAGCTTGAATCAGTTGGGTGGTCTAATTCTGTGGTCTCCTTGCTGTGGATTTCTGAATATGCCTTTCACCTGTGGCAGTGTTAGTTGCTTTGCCTTGAGCACTGCAATGACCTTGATTGCCTCTTGTCAGGGCAAGTACTTGCAAGGAGAGTGCCAGGACCCTGCAGACACTGCCTGTGGTGCAGGACCATTCTGGCCTCTGTTGAAGTCACTGTTTCTGACTTCTGCTAGTACCACTGAAATGTTCTCCTGTTACTGCTGTTCCAGCTACGTCTTAGAGGCACGAGGGAACTTACCTGTTTGTAATGTTTACTTGTCTATGTTTCATTTAAATGCCTTTGGCAGTTCTTGACTAACTTTAACTTACCCTTGTTTCTTAATCCAGTGCCTGACTTACCCCACTGCTGTTCTGCTCTTCTTCAAAATCATGCAGATGACCTCAGCATCTTAATGCCCGTGGTACATAAGGAATGTGACTTCCTCACTCTCCTCTTCTGCCAGTCAAAGTACGGATGTCTAAAATACAAATAAAGTGAATTATTTTTTTTAATGAGGCTGTTTTGCAAAAAAAATCACCTAGCAAGCAGGGAGTACTCATGCCGAGATGTTCTCAGTAAAGTATGGGGAGGCAGCTGCTTATCTGTATCACAGAGCTGGAAAAAATTCTGTACAAACTTTGTGTAAGCATTGACTTTAAAATTCCATGAACTAAGGTTCTGATCTCTCTTGTCACTAATCTAGTGACAACAGCACAAGGTGGTTGATGTAAACATCCAAGCCTAAAAATTATTTTGGAGGTGCCTTTTGGCATTTTGGGAGTCACGGAGTTGACTTTTTAGAACCCTTCCTCCAAAGAAAAACTTGATTTAATTTATTAAGTTGTCCTAGGGTTGGCTTTGAGAGCCATGTCAAATGCATGGACTTTTGCATCTTTAAACTGTGAGAACTGATTGTAGAGTGTCATTATCTCTGCATGTTTCCCCCTTCCTTTTGCATGTGGCTCCTTTCTTGGTGGCAAGATCCCTGCAACAGGCATTCTCTACTCACATTTCTGCATTTTGTGTGGAGTGCTTTGACATCAGGTGGTGCTATACAAATCTGGAACACCACGAGAGCTATAGTGTTCTTGTGATTTTATTACAGGACATTGTGTTTAACTAGATCTTAACCTCCTTGAGGCCAGTTGCAGGCAAGGAGAGTAAATAATTTAACTTCAGACTTCATTTAAAATTGACAGGGAGAGGTAAAATCTGAATTTGGCTGTCTGGTAGCATAGGCTGTTGGCCAAGGAGACTGTTTTAAGTGCATAAAGTAAATATAAATATCTGCCTTAAGAGGTTCTCTGATGCTATCAAAGTAGTCAGCTAAGATGTTTAAGAATAATAGGTTTAAACTAATTAACACTCAGCTAGAAATCACAACTACTATACTTCATCAAGCTCTTTGTTTTCATGTGTCCAACTTTTTTCATGTTGAAGTGGGAGGGTGTGAAGTTTGGGGGTTTGATAATCATCTGCAGCTCAGAATAGTTGGCACAATGAACTGTGTTTTGCTTTAGGCTTGAAACTTGTCACACTTCATTGTGGTTACAGATTTTTTTATTTTTTTTTTTAGCACTGCAAGCTGAAATTTTACTGCAGCTGGGTTTTGAGTTAAAATATTGTGAAATACAGGATTTCACTATACTCCACCCACATAGTGTTTTACTTGAGTATGAGGCACTGTTCTTTTTACCAAAACACGTTTGGCTAACCTAATTTCAGGGATGCTGAAGCTTCAGTGCTAGCTCTAAAGCATCAGTGAGGTACTGTCTTTGTTAAAAAAATTATAAAAATAGCAATTAACATTCCAGCTGCATTAGGAACCACTTCAGGAAGACAGGAAGTTCCACCAAAGTCAAATCCTGTGGTCCCCCTGTCAGGCCAGCAATAGGAACAGATTCTGCCCCCGCATGTCTTGGTAGGATTAGCGTGCACTGCGCACCAGTGTTGACCAAGGTCTTGTATTTCGTGGTTCTGATTGAACATTATTTCATTGCCAGGCATTATTTCATTGCCAGGCCAATGAACCCACATAGTCCAGAAGATGGTTTTCCCTGACCTCTACCTGGCTAGAGGCAGGGCCCCTCTAATCCTGGTTATCCTTCTTTTCCCTGGGCATACGGAGGTTCCTTCAAGGGGATTGGACCTATCATCATCATCATACGTGGCAGTTTGGCTACGGGCTACTGGAGCCAATTTCTATATGGTGGAACTTCTTCTCTGAGTCTTGCCCTCCTTCAGTTCACGTACCTGTTGTGCCAGAGCAGCTGTGAGTCTTCCATCCCACCTGCAGATGTTTTTCCCACAGTCGTGCAGGAAGAACCACAGCTCATGGGGTGTTCCTTCTCTCCCTGTCTGGGGGACTTCTGCGTTTGGTACAGAACTTCTCATCTGTACTTCAGAGATTTGGAGAAAGCCCTCTTTGATCTCCTCCCTGAGTTTCTTGTGTTTCTCCTCCATCTTGTCTTCTGATTTCTGCAGATGTGTTTCCACAGTTGCGATTCTTGCATGTGTTGGGCCATGCACAGCATCTGCATATGCACAGAGCTTCTTTGTCATATCCAGCACTGTCTCATCTCTGTCATCCCACTTCATTGTTGTTAAAGTGTATTCTTGTGGCTCGAGTCATACAAGTTTTTACCACATCACGGATGTACATGGTACCAAGTCTGGATTCCTAGTATCTGGGTCATCCAAAAAGACAATCTCTACTATTGCCATTTCTCTCAAGCACTGAATCCCTTGTTCTATGGTCTTCCAATGGATTTGCTGCATATAGAGATCATCTGCACACAGTTATCTTTGAGCCACACTTCTCAGGACCCATGCCCAGAGGCTGTGAGGGTCAGCCCCCCTCATCATCCCCTGGTTGATAACGGGATCA